CCTCATCTCCAGTCGCTGGAACGTCCCCCGAGACACCGGTCGCCGGAAGTCCTGGCGCTGAGCTCATCAGCAACATGCCACTTCCCATACCTGGTGGCGAGGGAGAGGACGACTTTTCTCCGGCCAAGTCACCTATCACTGTCCTCGGCAGGCCCTCATCTCCAGTCGCTGGAACGTCCCCCGAGACACCGGTCGCCGGAAGTCCTGGCGCTGAGCTCATCAGCAACATGCCACTTCCCGTACCTGGTGGCGAGGGAGAGGACGATTTCGGAACACCGGTCGCCGAAAGTCCTGGCGCTGATATAATACCGACTGAATATGGTCTGGGAGACGCGAAAGTGCCGAATTCCGTCATCACGGCGCCTCAGATTGCAAGTACAACGCCGGAACTTGCAGCTGATGAAGAACAGAATCCTGCAAGACCTGCGACTACTAAAGACGCGCCCAGTGAGAATGCTGAAAATGTGGGTGTCTCCACACAGCCCAAGACAAAACCAGTCTCACCAGTTCCTGAACAAGGCCCAACAGCTGAGATCTCCGAAAGCAAAAGCGGCACTTCGCAACCCCCCAGATATGGTGTTTCGAACAGCTACCTGCCGCCCAGTTCTGACTTCAAACCACCCCAGTCTGCGTACGGTGATCTTTCCCCGCCGACACCTGCCAAATCTGACAGACCCGATACAGCAAAAATTCCAACCTCTGAGAAATCGCCGGGCAGAGAATCATCAAGCTCGCCGGGCACTGGAGGCACCCCAGACACTCCTGGCAGCGGAGGATTCCAGGGTGCACCGGGCAGAGGATCACCAGGATCACCGGGTACTGGAGGTACCCCAGGCGTTCCTGGTATAGGAGGCTCTCTGGGTGCCCCCGGTAGAGGATCACCAGGATCACCGGGTACTGGAGGTACCCCAGGCACTCCTGGCAGCGGAGGATCCCGGGGTGAACCGGGCAGAGGATCACCAGGATCACCGGGTACTGGAGGTACCCTAGGCGTTCCTGGTATAGGAGGCTCTCCGGGTGCCCCCGGTAGAGGATCACCAGGATCACCAGGCACTGGAGGTACCCCAGGCATTCCTGGCAGCGGAGGATCCCGGGGTGAGCCGAGCAGAGGATCACCAGGATCACCGGGTACTGGAGGTACCCCAGGCGTTCCTGGTATAGGAGGCTCTCCGGGTGCCCCCGGTAGAGGATCACCAGGATCACCAGGCACTGGAGGTACCCCAGGCACTCCTGGCAGTGGAGAATACTCGGGTGCCCCGGGCAGAGGATCACCAGGATCACCGGGTACTGGAGGTACCCCAGGCACTCCTGGCAGCGGAGGATCCCGGGGTGAACCGGGCAGAGGATCACCAGGATCACCGGGTACTGGAGGTACCCTAGGCGTTCCTGGTATAGGAGGCTCTCCGGGTGCCCCCGGTAGAGGATCACCAGGATCACCAGGCACTGGAGGTACCCCAGGCATTCCTGGCAGCGGAGGATCCCGGGGTGAGCCGGGCAGAGGATCACCAGGATCACCGGGTACTGGAGGTACCCCAGGCGTTCCTGGTATAGGAGGCTCTCCGGGTGCCCCCGGTAGAGGATCACCAGGATCACCAGGCACTGGAGGTACCCCAGGCACTCCTGGCAGTGGAGAATACTCGGGTGCCCCGGGCAGAGGATCACCAGGATCACCGGGTACTGGAGGTACCCCAGGCACTCCTGGCAGCGGAGGATCCCGGGGTGAACCGGGCAGAGGATCACCAGGATCACCGGGTACTGGAGGTACCCTAGGCGTTCCTGGTATAGGAGGCTCTCCGGGTGCCCCCGGTAGAGGATCACCAGGATCACCAGGCACTGGAGGTACCCCAGGCATTCCTGGCAGCGGAGGATCCCGGGGTGAACCGGGCAGAGGATCACCAGGATCACCGGGTACTGGAGGTACCCCAGGCGTTCCTGGTATAGGAGGCTCTCCGGGTGCCCCCGGTAGAGGATCACCAGGATCACCAGGCACTGGAGGTACCCCAGGCACTCCTGGCAGTGGAGAATACTCGGGTGCCCCGGGCAGAGGATCACCAGGATCACCGGGTACTGGAGGTACCCCAGGCACTCCTGGCAGCGGAGGATCCCGGGGTGAACCGGGCAGAGGATCACCAGGATCACCGGGTACTGGAGGTACCCTAGGCATTCCTGGTATAGGAGGCTCTCCGGGTGCCCCCGGTAGAGGATCACCAGGATCACCAGGCACTGGAGGTACCCCAGGCATTCCTGGCAGCGGAGGATCCCGGGGTGAACCGGGCAGAGGATCACCAGGATCACCGGGTACTGGAGGTACCCCAGGCGTTCCTGGTATAGGAGGCTCTCCGGGTGCCCCCGGTAGAGGATCACCAGGATCACCAGGCACTGGAGGTACCCCAGGCACTCCTGGCAGTGGAGAATACTCGGGTGCCCCGGGCAGAGGATCACCAGGATCACCGGGTACTGGAGGTACCCCAGGCACTCCTGGCAGCGGAGGATCTCGAGGTGCACCGGGCAGAGGATCACCAGGCTCACCGGGCACTGGAGGTACCCCAGGCACTCCTGGAAGAGGAGGCTCTCCGGGTGCCCCCGGCAGAGGATCACCAGGATCACCAGGCACTGGAGGTACCCCAGGCGTTCCTGGAAGAGGAGGCTCTCCGGGTGCCCCCGGCAGAGGATCACCAGGATCACCAGGCACTGGAGGTACCCCAGGCACTCCTGGCAGTGGAGGATACTCGGGTGCCCCGGGCAGAGGATCACCAGGATCACCGGGTACTGGAGGTACCCCAGGCACTCCTGGCAGCGGAGGATCCCGGGGTGAACCGGGCAGAGGATCACCAGGATCACCGGGTACTGGAGGTATCCCAGGCGTTCCTGGTATAGGAGGCTCTCCGGGTGCCCCCGGTAGAGGATCACCAGGATCACCAGGCACTGGAGGTACCCCAGGCATTCCTGGCAGCGGAGGATCCCGGGGTGAACCGGGCAGAGGATCACCAGGATCACCAGGCACTGGAGGTACCCCAGGCATTCCTGGCAGCGGAGGATCCCGGGGTGAACCGGGCAGAGGATCACCAGGATCACCGGGTACTGGGGGTACCCCAGGCGTTCCTGGTATAGGAGGATCCCCCGGTGCCCCGGGCAGAGGATCACCAGGATCACCAGATACTGGAGGTATCGAAGACACCTATTTCTATGGAGGATACTCGTATGCCCCGCCGGGCCAAGGATCACTAAGATTACCGGGTACTTTAGGCACCCCAGGCACTCCTGGCGGCGGAGGATCATCGGTTGCTCCAGGCGAAGGACCACCAGGCTCACCGGGAACTGGAGGTACCCCAGGCACTGCTGGCAGTGGAGGATACAAGTATGCCCCGCCGGGCAGAGGATCACTAGGATCACCAGGTATTGAAGGTACCCCAGGCACTCCTGGCAAAGGAGGAGCTCTGGGTGCACCGGACAGGGGATCACCAGGATCACCGGGTACTTTAGGCACCCCAGGCACTCCTGGCAGTGGAGGAAACCAAGGTGCCCCGGGCGGAGGATCACCAGGGTCACCGGGGTCACCGGGTACTGGAGGGGAATCCACACAGGGACAGCGACCACGACCCCCGTACAATGAGCCCGACTCGAGACTAGGCCCGCAGCCGGCTGCAGCCAAGCTGGAGCCCTCGCCCCGCCGTCCCCGTCCACCTTTCTCCCAACCGGAGACACCCGTCCGCGTCCCAGCTCGTCCAAATCGTCTGCCGACCTCTCCGCGCCCGAGCCATGGCGGATCGCGGCCCTCGCTGCCGCCCTTCGACGCTGACGCCATGCCTGACTACGAGCCCAAGTTCGGCATGCGGCTCGTGCCGAAGACAAAGAGGCCGACGGTGGAGCAGGAGCTTGAGGAGTACCTTGGCTACCTTCCTCCGCTGGTCTAGACGTTTCTTCGCGATGGTGTGAAGGCGTGTGGAAGGGCAGGCTTCTCATTAGACCGTGAGAGCCGTACTGACCCCTGGCCTCCGGCTGTGCTCCGTGGCCAGAATGGTCGGTATCGATAAGTGTGCTTAACTCGTATTCGCGTTAACTTGCTAATGACTGCTTGCGTCAACCTATTTTTGCTCGCTTTAAGCGTGGAAATAAATCGAAAATAAATAACGAACTGGATATTTGTGTGTGTTTGATTGGTGACGTGCCGGACATCTCCGACAACTCGAGGCCACCGCTACCGCGCTGTCAAAAATGTCAAAGTTTTCGCCCTATATATTTATCGAGCAAATTTTTAAACATGCTTTGATGCCGTCAATTCGTTGAAATTGCAACTACAAGCAGTCAGCTGCTATGCAATCCGGTTTTTCGGCCATCAGTCAAACGCTGACAGTCGATTGGTGTGCCTCTGACTCACAAGCCTAATCCACCGGGTCGGCCCGTCCGCCTGCTTAATCTCCGGACGACACGATGCAACTCCTCGAATAACCTTGGCCTTTCACCTTTGGACCACCTTCCTGGAAATCCTGTCATGCATAACGTTTCTCATTCCCAGCGGTGCAGGCAACGTCGGCCGACTCGAGCAGTCTTCATCACGGCGCGGCTGCTAATCCGATGTTAGCGGACGTCTCCAGCGGGAATCTCGCCGGAATCTCGCCGCCCAAGGTCGTGCAGCTCCGTACCGCGCCGGATCGTCGTCGAACGGCGTCTGCGGAGATGTCATTACGCCCCTCCGGGCTCCGGCTCAGTCGGCTCAGCGAGCCGTCCTCCCCCGCCGCCCTAATCGGCTTTGGGCTGTATGGGGCGGGGCTGCGAGCCGCGCGGCTTGATGGCGGCGGTCGCGTGGCGGCGGGCCGGCCTCCGCGGCGAGCCCCAGACCAGCGTCAGGCCCTGACGGGATCGGCACTCACGGCGCGGCCCTGGTCAGCCGTCGCTGTGGTCGTGATGGCGTTGGCGTTGCCGTGTTACTGTTGCGGCGTCACGCTCGGGCGCCGCCAGATCCGCCACAAGGCAGTGACGTCAACGGCCGTCTGTTGCAGCCTGCAAGCAGGACGGGGATATCATAGACATCGAATGCAACAGCTGCACCTGCATCAACAAGTTCCTGCTGTGCTCGCAGGAAGAGTGTCCCCCGGGTAAGTCTAGTAAGAGAAAGCTGTCGGTTTCGGGATTGCAATGCTTTATGATCTTCTGGCTCTTAGACGCAAAATATCGTGAGATGAGGCGGTATTTGTTAGGAATAAGCATGTTGCGGCAAACTCCAATCTCGAGTCACTAATATGTCACGAGTCAAATCAGCGGGATGACGACTTTCGCTGATCTTTACAGAATGTCACGAGTCAAATCAGGGGGATGACTTTCGCTGATCTGTATAGAATGTCACGAGTCAAATCAGCGGGATGACGGCTTTCGCTGATCTGTATAGAATGTCACGAGTCAAATCAGCGGGATGGCGACTTTCGCTGATCTGTACAGAATGTCACAAGTCAAATCAGCGGGATGACGGCTTTCGCTGATCTGTACAGAATGTCACAAGTCAAATCAGCGGGATGACGGCTTTCGCTGGTCTGCACAGAATGTCACAAGTCAAATCAGCGGGACGACGGCTTTCGCTGATCTGTACTGAATGCAATACAAACGAACGTAGGAAAACAACAGAGCTCAGGACCTGCTTTTGCTGACGGCTGGTGAAGCGGCACGCCCTGCCAGGCGTTGTAACACCAGGCATTATCGGGAGCAAGGAGCTAATATGAGCGTCCTCATCTCGCTCGTCGTTCCGGGATCGGTGCTGTTCTCGCCGCACAGAGGCCATGGCGGCGTGATGTACCGTTCGATAAGCCATAGCATATTCACTCACTGCGTGGTCGTCGCTACTTCATTTCAGTTAAGCCCGGATTCTGCCCAAAGCTCACCAAAGGATACAAGGGCAAATGTGTCGAAGAGTGCACCAGCGACTACAACTGTGAATCCGACAGCAAGTGCTGTAACACGGGCTGTGGTCATACCTGTCAGAACTCAGGTGAGTCACGAGTGTAGGTGTTCCGCTCCGAGCCCAAACAGCTCTGCGGGTCACAGTGAGCGGTGGCGCCGGACATTTCGGTCATTTGGCCGTTTTTGATTTGTCAGTTCCGAAAAATGTCACAAAGGCCCGGCTTCTGGACCATTAACTCATTTGATTCTCATTTCGTTGCGGATGATGCCGAACGATAAATATTTTTTAGACCCATTGCCTTAAACTCTAGTTCAATCAGTTATCAATTTGACAGAGAGCATCACTTCCCTGAAAACAGAACTAAGCAGCTAGATGCATGCTCGACTTAGCATTTCCAGTCTAGTCAGTGTCATCGTACTCTAAATGTTATTTGCACAGCTCAATTTGCTCGCCGATTTTGCGGATTGCTTGGTAAAAATAAAACAAGTGAGTCTCGCGAAAGCCGGAAAGTAGGTTCTCACTTAATGATCTCAAGGACACGACGCACTGCTCAGGTGCGAATAGGCACTGCAACCGTTACGAGCTCAGGAAAATCCTCAGGCCATTCGGCCAGCATGGGAACATTGCTCAACAGCAAGGATGTTGGTCGGATACCGGTGCATGGCCGCTGGCAGACCCAAGGCGTGACGTAAGGCAGTGGTACACGCGCAGTAAGACGAAGAGAGTAAGGCAATGTGTCGTTGTCAGAGCAGATCTGACACGGTCCGGACGGCGATGTCGGACAGTCTGGGATTACGAGATCCGAAGTCTGTGTTCTTTGCAGCTCTGGATACCTTAAATTTGTTTCACTGTTGTACATTTCAAACGTTGCACTCTTTGATTAAGCCAATGATTAAAATCGCATAAAGGGTACTTAGCAAAAGGTTCTGCGGTTTACTACGCCACGACGCTGACACAGCTTCCCCGGATCTTGCCTTTCAAACTGCGCTTATACAACATGCAGCGGCGATTACGATTTAGTTTAGAGCGCATCGGTTGCTGTAGGCTTGTTTGTTTAGGTCGGCTTACAGTAATGACAAGCATGAAGTAGCCACTAGTTACTTAGGCTTGCAGGACGCAAGGAATCTGTGTCGAGCGCATATACACTTCCTCCGCGCTCACAGGATCAGTGTCACCTGTTTAACAGTGCCGTAAATTGCTCCAATCGGGAGGGCACAGTTCACGCCTTATCTGGTCCACTTACTAGATAATGCCGGCGCACGTGCTTCATCTAACGTGGCGCCGTTCGTTAGAGATTGCTGGAGACGACTCATCACCCAGGTGTTCCGTTCTCACCAAACATAACGCAAAATGACAGCAGCAGCCGGAACACCCAATAACACCTATCGACCACCACCTAACGTGGCGCCGCCTGCCGAACAGTGCCGGTCCCCACCTAACGTGGTGCCGCCTGCCGGACGGCGTGCCGACCACCACCTAACGTGGCGCCGCCTGCCGGACAGTGCCGGAGGTCGTGCATCCGTGCCGGACGGTGCGGTTCCGCTGCGGGGATGAGACCCGGTGCGCGGCAACGCGCGGCCTCTGCCAACCGGGCAAGACGTGCCCTCTCTCGCCACTCTGCGTGAGCCGGACCGCGCCATTCTGCGAGAGCTGTCCTCCGGGCAAGGTGTGCGTGCTGCAGAAGCAGGCGTGCCCCAACGGCGGCTGCTACCGACAGCCCATCTGCGTCCAGCTGTACAGGTACTGAGCAGACCGGGCGGCGCGGGGTGCTGTGGAACGCACCACTGGCAGTGGGTCACTGACGCTCACCGGCAGGTGGGCTTAGTAGTCTCATTGGAAGGGTCTTGACATGTCCTGACCCTTTGGTCTTGCCTTCTTTGTTACGGACGCGGTGCGCATGGTCTGCTTGTGTGGGTGATATTATGAGATGGGCTTATCTTTATTTCCGTTTTGGAACAAAGCGGTGTTATTCGAGCCTCCAAAGATTTTTCAAGATGTGTCTTCGTAATCATTGAGCTAAGTCGTGATAGGCTAAAATTTTTAATTGTGTATCTGATGGCTCGAGGTAGATTTGAGAGGAATTTTCAGCTCTTTACATGAAGCTGAGCTCTATGGGATTCAAGTGAATTCAGTTGGCAGAATTGAACTCTGATTTTATTCTTCACAGGTTTGTTGATGTCTGCAATGCTCCTGGTTATGATATACCAGAGTATTAACACTGTATGAGGGCGATTATGGCGCAGCACCACATCATCCGTTCTCCGGTGTTAATAGTTAGGCATAGAAATGATGCGTGCTATTTGCTATCACTCGATTTTTGTTTCACAGTTAGCTCCCGATGGCTTGTTGCGCAAATTAACTTATGGAAAAGTAATTAAACGGAGTTTAGATTCAATAATCACGTCGAACATTTCCAAGCTGTCTGTCGACACACGTTCAGGTCGGGGTGGTAGTCGTTTTGCCCTCTCCATGCAAAGTTTTTCAGAATTATTTCCGAAAGCCGTGGCATAGCCACGCACAACTTTCCTTCGGTATAAGAAATTGAACAGGAGGTGTTTTTGTATAAACAATGGGGTAATTGCCCTGTACTGTCGCTGACCTATGGCAGGTCAAAGTCAGGCGCTGAAAGCGAAGACGGTTCCTGGGGAATCCTCCAACAGGATGTGATAACGGAGTGTTAAAGCCATGCATCTCTGAGATAGTCCGAAAATCAAATAATAGAATATGGAATAAATACAATTCGTTTCGACCTTATGGCATACATGATGGTCAGATTGAGGTAAAAATCAACCTGCTTTTTATTAGGAATGCTGTTCCGTGGGTAATTTCCAATGCTCGATTCGAATTAATTAGTCCCAGCGACCGCAGCACACATCTTCCATGAACATCTTAAGGATCAGAGTTAAGGGTTAGATTAGGGCAATGACTTGAAGTCGTCCAGGTCAATGGTTTGTCTTAGGAGCAATGCGCCTAGCGTAATTCTGGGCGCTTATTCAAATAAAAACAAAACCAAAACAGTCTAGTAAGTTTTTGGTCACCATGACCTTCTTAAGGTTAACAAGGTCATTAACCTGAAATCAACATCATTGGCCTTTCGCTTAGGACTAGTATCCAAATTCAAGGCGGTTACATGGGGAGGTCGGGGAACTTTTGAACACCGATCTAGATTTCGACCTTGTGTGACCAAATGTGGCTCGAAGAACATGACCTAGGAATCTTAAATTTTGACACAAGCGAATTTACACGCAGGGCAATCCATCCCATGAATTTGGTGTCTCTAGTTCCGTTGATTTTGAGACCTTAGGGCGGTGGTCAAATTGACCGCCCCCCCCCCCCCCCCTCCAACGAGCGCGTGGTATTCAGTCGGCCAGCCGGGCGCGCGACAAAACTCTTGACGACTAAAACTGCCATAACAGTGCCCAAACTCTTATTCATGATAGTGTAAACAATCCGGAACCCCCAACTCCTAAAAGCTCTGCGTGATAGTCCATCATCCTTTTACATTCAGCTCTTCTTTCTCTCTCTTTAGCATGAATCGACAAGACACATTGGCTTCCATTATATATATTAGATCTCATGTCCACATGTAGATTAGATCCCGACAAATCGCCTAAGCCCACTCCATAGTATCCATAACCGGCAGCTTAATAACATCCCAGGAAGGTCGATTTAGACCCCATGGCAGTTTATCGTATTATCAGCCGAGCTGGATTGGGGCCAACCCTCTGTTTAGGTCCCCCCAGAACATCGTTGCCCTGAAGTGCGCGGTCCCAGTGCATAATTCGCGCTGGATCAGTTTCTGCGCTGTCAGTCTATAAGACCATGCGCGTTCATATAGGAATCTCGGGTCATCGAATACCCATGACAACCAGGACTGATATTTTGCTTGCCCACAGTGACGACACGATATTCGAAGAGGATGAAGAGCTCGAGCTGGCTGTAGTGGCCAAGCAAAACCCCAAGAAGTTCTTCTGATTTAGCATCCGCTGAAGCGACGACATAGCAGAAGACGACGAAGTTTATTTATTGATAGCGAGTGTTTTGGCGGTGTGCGGTGTCAATGACACGGTTGGATTATGAACTCTCCCATAGACTGTTGGATACTGGGTTTTTCGGCTGACTTAGCCTTCTCTGACCTTTGGTCATCGCACCTGAATTTACTTTAGTGACGACGGTCCTGCGCCGAAACCTGGTGGTGCTTCATTTTACGCCTTCATAGCCGTTTAGAATCTGGTTCTTTTGCCCATTGGGCAACGCAGCACTGTTTTCTTTTATCGGGCATTGCCATCGTGGAGACCGAGAGGAATGCCTGCAATCGAGGCGGCAAAGTATTCGCACGAGAGAGTATGGAATAAGCTAGCATATTAGGGGAAACATATTTTAGCTGCTTGTGATACGTCAAAAGTCACTATAGTGATATCGTGTGCACTGACTATTTCTAATGCCCGCTTGCCGGCGCACTAGAATGTCATCCACCGAACATGTTACCATTTAAAAAACGTGTTACAATGCGTGCATATATTTATCAGTATCTAGCTCTGGTCACAGCATAGTGTTTATATGTGAATGTCGCGGCACGGGAGAATACGCCGAGGAAAAAAGTGAACAAAAGGGAGGCTGTCTTAAGAGTAATTTTTAATATAGTTTTGCAATAAGCCGGCTTGTTTGACGAAACTTGGGTCATCCCATGACAAACCAACAGCGGATAACTGCATGTCAACATGGCCCCGTTCGCGAGAATGTTGCATCAATTGTGAGTTTGCAAAGGCGATCCGTGTAGAAAGAGACGATCTGTTTGGGTTAAACCTCCTTGTCCCTCGCGACTGGCTTCGGGATGAAGGCGTGGGGGATATTGAAGTGAACACAGACGCCTTGTTCCGACCCGTCCTGCTCGGTTCCTGCAATGAACCCTTTGATGGGGAGACGAAGAAGGATTGAGCTAAAACTGGAGAGCCCCCACCCGTGTGACCTCGAGCAAGGCCCCGGGAGCGTCTGGTACCAGCTGGGGACAGCCCAGATACCTGCCGATTCCCCTCAACCCTACTCACGTTTACCCGTGGGAAGTCCCTTGACTGGGAAGCGAAACGTAGAGACGGAGCAGGGTCTTTCATCCCCTCCCTGCCGCGTCCCCGTCCCGGGCGCCTGGAGCGGAAAGCCCTGCTCTGTCCCCGTGGGGGACCCCTGAAACGGGACGTCAGGGGGGGGGGGGGGGCGGCTCTTGATCCTGCTGGCTGTGCTGGAGGGTCGGATCGGGACGGGACAACGCCGATGGGGACGGGCGCGTCGGCGGCAGCCCATAAAGGCCACTGGGCTCGCTCGGCACGTGAATCGAGAACACATCCGCGTCCACGCTGAGTCCGACGGCCACCAGGGCGGCGACACAGGCGAGGACTGCGACCGAGCTCATGGTGCCACCACGCCCTCCACGACCCCCGCTCGCGCGGCTGACCGGACTGGACTGACAATGCGCCGATCGTCACGTCCGGACCCTTTTTATAACCCCCGCCCCCATCCCCCTTCGTCCGGCGCCGTGACGTCATCGGAGCGTTGCCGGTGACGATCGGTGACGCCCTGTGACGAAAGCGGCGTTGCCGGACGCGGTGTGCAGTGATGTACTGACACGCCATGGGAACAGTACGAGCATGGGATGCTGAGACGCTAAGGGGCTGCTGTTCTGGGCAGCCTGTGATAAGCTCAGGTCAAGGCAGGGACCGTGTGCCCGCGTGGGGTCGGAGCGCGGGTTGATGTGCTCATTCAAGCGCCTGAGATTACGGCAGGAGGCACCTGGAACAGGCGTGCACTGGGCATGGATCACCTGCTTAACTGGGCGTGCCTTTGATGAGACCCCAAGAACAACTTAACTTCAGTTGGTTAAAAATGCATGTAAAACATAAATTATTCACCATTATCCACTTGTTATTCATTTGGACATGCGTGATATTGGTTAACTGCCGAAAATCGGAACAATAACATTAATTGAGTAAGTAACTAACACTAGGACACAAATTTGGACGGCAGAATATGCCTACCTAAGTTTGGAAAAGAACCCTGCGTAGAAAAGTGAAATATAATTCAAACCTTCAATGCAGTCCCATGTTTTGATGAGGCATGGCGCATTCAAAGTACTCGAAGCCCCGGAGACCAATTCAAGCAGCTTATGAAGAAGATACCACGCTTAGTATGCTCCACCGCCTTGCGTGCTATCCCATTCATTGGCCACGGTGTTTTGCGTCCATCTCTGAAGCGTAAACAACCTAATGCACGCCCAAGACTGGCCGCTGTGTGTGCACCATGACATCTAAGACCGTTCTGTACAGAGAGCAGGTGTTTTCTGCAACTCACGCGCTGAATCAATAGACCAGTACAGTTGCTTGCGCCGACTCACGCATCCATGCAGATCCAAACGGCCTCATGTCTTGGCAATGTACACAATCATGGCATGGGGATTGTTGTGATGACCGAACGGCTCTGGGCTAATCTCTGTTTGCCGCAACGGTCGAGGCCTTTCCCGCAAAGATCAGTCGCTTCTAGAATGTGGTAGGAACACAGATAAATTTGTTCCAGAAGAAAAAACTTAAACCACGTGCGAGGCTGTCATTTTCAAGGTTTGAATTCCTCTTGAAGGCGAACGTTTGAATGTCATGCTTCCAAATTTGGTGGCTAGGTGGGACCATGTAATGTGATCAGTTGTGGCAAATTTCAAAGCAATCAGGGGAGTCTGTGTGAAATGAAAAGTATGTGTGAAAACCGACATCGAATGTGACATTTTTGATTTATAGGTCACATTTTGGATATCGTACCGTCACATGGCACATCATATGATGAGCAACGGCCAATTACATCATAGGAGATGCATTGTTCAACACTCCTTTGTCTTGGTGGCTTATTGCGAAGCTTTTTTATTAATGTCTCGTTTTAGAGATATGTCATATATCCCATAGTTTGAGAGGTTTTGGAATGCGTGAATGGAAGTGTCACAAATTGACACTTGGTGAAAAACCGTATATACACAAATTTCAAGGTGATCAAAGGAATCTCTCATCCATTTAGTTCAAAGCCGTCATTTTCAAGGTTTAAATGCCTCTGGAAGGCGAACGTTTGAATGTCATACTATAATATTTGGTGGGTAGGTGGAACCATGTAAGGTGATTATTCGTGGAGAATTTCAAAGCAATCAGAGGGGTCCACAAATGTGTGAAAACTGACATCAAATGTGACATTTTTTATTTATACGTCACATTTTGCATGCCGTACCATCATATGGCACATCATATGAGAGACAACGACTAATCATATCCTAGGGGATGACTTGTTCAGCATTGTTTGGTTTTGGTGGCATATTATGACGCTGTTTGTGTCGTTTTAGAGATATGCCATATATCCCATTGTTTGAGAGCCTCTGGAGTGCGCGAATGGAAATGTCACAAATTGCTACGTAATGAAAAACTGTGTATGCACATTGTACACATCTGTGCCAAATCTCAACGTGATGAAAGGAATCCCTCTGCCTTTTTACCGACATGAGGTGTATATATGTTAATACGTGCAAGACAGTCATTTCCAAGATTTGAATGCCTCTGGAAGACGAACCTTTGAATGTCATAATGTAATATTTGAAGGCTAGGTGGAGAGATGCGATGCTAACTTTTTTCCCAAATTTCTAAGTTATCAAAAGAGTCTGATTTTGAGTGACCTTGAACATCTATGGTTGTTTGCGGGCGTGGTTTTAAATGTCACATTTGAAAAATGTGATTTTATTAATTGGTTGCTTTGTTCTACCAACATACCAAATTTAGTCAAATTCTGTCGAGTCCAGGCAGGTTCACTGGGTTCACTAAGCAATGACCTAGAACGACCTTGAACTTTGATCTTTTATAACTCCTTTGTTTTTGGATATCACACTTAGTGTCTTATATATTCATCAGTGGCATAATTAGCTCTATCTGTGAGCTAAATTTCATTGTAATTTGTGAGAAAATCGAATGCGACACGGTCTAGATGAAGGACGAGGCTATTATCTATGAGTTTCTCGAGAATTTTGGATATAAACGTCAAAATACTGAAAGGTCTGTAATTATTTACAAACTGAGAGTCCCCACTGTAAAAGATGGGTTTAGTCACGGTTTTTAAAAAATACCTTGAAATATCCCCGGTGCCAAACAGCTGTTGAAAAGATGGAGAGTTGCTTTGAGCATTACCCTGTAAAATAACTTGAATTCTTTTTAATTAATATTGTCTACTCCAGCTCCGACGTTGTTTAGTCTATTCATGACAACTACCAATTCCTCTTCACTAGTGAGGGGCAGATCCATTTCATTTTTCTACATTTGCGTAGACTGACCTGGACGTGGTTGAATGATGAATTAAGAATCTCGTCTTTTGACTTTTGTCCAACCTCAGTGAAGATGCAATTAAATGATTCCGCCATATCCGAATCATCTGTGATAATTTTGTCAATAGCCTTAGTAATCCTTGTTGGGTCTGCATGCTTTTGTTGTGTTGAATTCATGAGTGTGTAATGTTTTCCATGTTTCCTTGAAGTTGCCAGAATGTTAACTGAATTCATCACTAGTATTTGTTTTTGGCTAGTCTAGGAGGTGTAGCAAGGATGTTATAAGAAAAAGTGCATTTTGCTTTTTTAAGGATTGGGGTGGTTCAATTTCTGTTCAAAAAGCTTACTCTTATGTGTATCTGACAGGAGAAGTGCAGGTAACAACCATGGTTTGCGTGGGCTGGTTTTTTAGAAATGTGCCTCATGTGGGAGAACCTGGTGATCCCAGCATTGTAACCATATATAATTTGAATTATGATAGTATGGGGTTCTGGCTCATTTTCAATATCAACAAGATGATTAACAAGGAATTGTTTCAAGTCTTCCAGCTTTCTTCAATCAAATGTGGAAGTATGTGTTTTAACATCAGGTATGTGTGTGTGTGTGTGTGTGAGGCATAGTTCATCAAAGCAAAAGTAGGGAA